ACGCCAGTCAGCATTCAGCTATATTTCGCCCGAGGGAGGAGGAAGTTGGCGGTTAGAAATTAAGAGATATGTATCTTCAGACTGAGAGAGAAAAAGCGAAAGACAAACCGTATGAAATGCAGACAGGAGATACACTAAAATAAAACAGACTGAGATAGATAGATAGATAGATAGATAGATAGATAGATAGATAGAAACAGAATGAGATAGATATGAACAGACTGAGATAGATAGATAGATAGATAGATAGATAGATAGATAGATAGATAGATAGATAGATAGATAGAAACAGAATAAGATAGATATGGACAGACTGAGATAGATAGATAGATAGATAGATAGATAGATAGATAGATATGTTGCGGTTTTGAATCAACCCACATATATAAAAATTGTTTAGTGTTTTTTTTTACAAATAAATATTTCTTAGAGTGTATTAAAGTTTAAGTTCTTACTGTCATTTTTTTTTGTAGCTGTTTGTTAAGATGAAAATAAATGAGACTTCTTCGTGTGTATATTTGAGTCCAATGTCCACCAGCTTCATGAGGCAGTGAACTGTTGCCGTCTGTCTCTCCGTACTGGTTTGTCCGTCTAGAAACTTTGCTTAAATACCCTTCAAAGGGATCACGAAGCATGTTTTTTTTATTATTATTATTATTGGCGGAAACGTGACCCGTTGGTTAAAATTTTTTATATATTTATTTTCAAAGTATTAATTTATTAACCGGAACAATGTGACATCCCCCGAAACCATTTTTGTCATTTGGTGTTTAGCTGACCTGTTGTTGATTTACGTCTTCGCTCCACACACACACACACACACATAGATAGATAGATAGATAGATAGATAGATAGATAGATAGATAGATAGATAGATAGAATGAATAAACTCACATAGGGAGATAAATAGATATGAATAGACTCACATAGATAGATAGATAGATAGATAGATAGATAGATAGATAGATAGATAGATAAAAAATTCTGTCGAGCTAAACATGATTAAAGATGATAAATCTTCTGACGTGAAGTGTTATTTTATCATCAACGAGTGACAGACAGACATGGAAAGTCGTAATAAATTTATGTCAGAATCTATTTCGACGTGAGAATAAATTAAATTTATATTCAGGCAACATCAGAAACGTAAGATTTGGTTCGATGTGACGAAATCATACGTCGCTTCTTATATGATGTTACTTCTTACATTTTCATAGACACACACAAAAACACACCGACACACACATGCACAAACACAGACACACACACACACACACATATATATATATATATATATATAGCGAGAGAGCTGAACAAGAGATCGAGTTGACATAGGAATGGTAGATTTACATCTCAATAGATTTTCAGACAATATCTTGGTGGTGATTTCATATATATATATATATATATATATATATATATATATATATATATATATATATATATATTATTATTATTATTATTTAAATGTTGTTCTTAGTGGGCTACACATATTTGAGTAGACACCCTGTTTATTTATTAAACAGTAGATTTTATTTATTTTCGTCTACCGACATAAATAATCGAGAAATCTTATTAAAGAAAAATATGAGTTCTCCGGCAGGAGTTGTACCTGCGCCCCTATATATATATATATATATATATATATATATATATATATATTAAAAAAAAATAATGGATTATTTATTAAGCCGGAATTTTATCTCTTTATATATATATATGTTGTAGCAAACCTACGGGCGATAATGGGCCACATTCACATAAATACAGTAGTAAATACTGTATGTTCGTTTGCAATCAGAGATTCGTTTCTAGCTGTGCTGGTCAAACTATCTGACTCCGGACAGAGAGGATTCCCAGACGAGGCAATGTCGAAGGGCGAAATCTCGTCTCGGGAAACAGCTACCCAACCTCGTTTTATATGGGGAATTTTGGGCCGAGCCCGTAGTCTCGGATATCCCCACATTAAATTCGGCCTTGTGCCACATCTGACCGTGTGGGGCGGTTGGCAGATATCCTGCAGCTGGAGATTCATTGTGAAATTCACTTGACTCACTTTCAGTTAACTACTACTTCTACGCGCCGCTGGCAAATCTTATACGCTGGTCTTGCTGATAACATCATATTCCCGACAAATTGACCATTTAAAAGCAAACGTTACCCAATCGTCCCCGTAATGCGTAAATTCTAATCACTCGTCTTCGCATATATATATATACATATATATGCACATTTCATTGAATACGACAGACAAGGGGCTTTGATTTAGTTCTTTATACAATTTATCATGCGATTTAATATATTTTTTTCTTTTCAGGTGATAAATTATATAAAAACTGTCCAAATGTTTTTTTCCGTACGCTTTCGGCTATACATTTAGCCATTTTCAAGGATCAAATATTTTAACTGTTAAATAAGAAATAGTTTTTTTGCGCGTATGTATTTATATAATGTTTTTATTTTTCAAAACACGGTCAACAGTTAAAATATTTCATCTTTGAAAATGGCTAAATGTATAGTCGAAAGCGCTCGGAAAAAAAGATCATTTTGACAGTTTTTATATAATTTATCATCTGAAAAGAAAAAATTTATCACATGAAAGACGTATTGCTGCCTAAATACACACACATTTGGGGCATAGAATCAGAATCTGTAATTTAAAATTAGAAATTCATCGATAAGTGATAGTTATGCAAATTTTTATATTTTGAATAGTGGAAAAAGTGTTCGTACAGTATCAATGTTTGAATTATAATACGGTAGATTTTGGTTTTACTTAAAAGAGAAGATTCTAAACTGTTCTAGAATATTCTCAGTAACTCTATTGCAACATTCAGTTCAAAATTGGATCATTCTGCAGGCACTGTTCACTGATAACGATTCTAATAATGGCTAGACGTAAGGAAATGACTTGTGCTCAAAAAGAGCTAATTATTAAGCTATGGAACAATGGGAAAAGTTGCAGAAACATCTCCAGTGACACAAACATACCTTTTTCAACAATTGGTTCAATTATTGTAAGATTTAAAAGACTGTTGAGAACAAAGGCAGACCCGGTTCTCCCAGGAAGATCTCTCCTAGATTACGAAGAAAGTTGATGTGACAGGTCCAAAATAACCCAATGGCCATCAGACAAAACTTTCAGAATGATCTGAGCTTGTCAGGAGTTAACGTAACTAACCAAACGATTAGTAATGAACTACGCAGAGACGGTATAAAGTCGCGCTCCCCAAGAAAGACTCCATCTGAAACGGCATAGAGATGCCAGGTTGTATGAAGGAAAGACGGGGCGAGGCATACGCACCCAAGAGTACCATACCAACTGTCAAATTTGGTGGGGGTAGTATCATGGCTTGTGGCTGCTTTTCGATGCGAGGTGTTGGCAAACTAGCATTTATAGACGGTAGAGTGAATGCAGAAAAATATCAACAAATCCTAAGCAAAAATTTATCGCTTTCTGTAGAGAAACTTTGGCTTCTCCTGATTGGATCTTCCATCAGGACAATGATCCCAAGCATACTGCTAAGAGTACGAAGAATTGGTTTGCTAATAACAGCGTTAACATCTTAAAATGGCCCAGTCAGTCGTCGGATTTGAATCCAATAGAGAATTTATGGCGGTTTTGAAAAAATAAGATCCGTGATAGAGGTCCAACGAACATCAAAACCTGAAGACAATTACTCAGGAAGAATGGAACAAAATACCTAATAACGTATACGAATCATTAATTAAAGACTACAGGAAGAGATTGGTTGCTGTTGAACTTAATAAAGGCTTTGCTACAAAATATTAAATGGAGAAAACATGTTTTTGTTCTGCTGTACGATCATTTTTTAAACCCCTAAAAATTTAGTATTGTTTTATTTTCTTAACCATGGAATATTATTTAGTTTTATATGCATAGATTTTTAGTATGCAATCTGATACAGTAGATATATTCCCATTTTGTTAATTTAATATGTTACAAATAAAAATATGAAATATTTTCATGTGTATGATCACTTATTCAACCCCACTATATATATTAAATATATATATATATATATATATATATATATATATATATATATATATATATATATATATATATATATATATATATATATATCAAATATGTGGTGCAGTTCAATTTATATTACGTGAATCATTCATACCAAAAGTAGATTAGTAAAGTTAATGATATAAATGGCGAAAAACATCTTCGCAGACAAATTTATTAAAGTTACATTAACCTACGACCCACTCGATGAATGTTATGATCCTTGTTTTTAATAACTTCAAGTTGTATAAAGTTTTTTTTTTATTCTGCTAGTACTTTCGGCTGTACATTCAGCCATCCTCAGGCATGGAAATTATTTTGTTTTTTGTTTTTGTTTTGTTTTTTTAGTAAATCCAGGTAAAAGCAGACACGAAAATTTAAATGCGAATCGAAATATGTTTTTGTTAGAAATGTGTTATTATTAACGGATAAAAAAATTTTGGAGCGTGCTGTCGCAACGCTAAGGTTGAATTTTTTTTTTTAATATAAGAGAGTGCGTTTTTTACTAATCTGGCAATTTGAGAATTTTTTGTTGTAGGAGTTTATCAGTCAATGTGGCATGAACTAAATTGTTCAATAAAGAGAGTAATGTCTCAGTTGTTATCCCGAAAATTTGCACGTCGGATAACTTCTTTTTAAATCAAATATATGGAGCAGTTTAATTTATATTACGTAAATCATTCATACAAAAATTCATGTTGAAAAAAATAAAAAGACAAATGAAAACTACAGACAAAAGTTCATTTTCTCCATCAAGACATTCATTTCTGTAGTTCACTGCTACCAGCAAGCAGAAAATTATTTTTCTCCTGATGATGGCTATGTTAGCCGAAACTAGTCAAGGAATCTAAATAAAATAATAATAAAAAAAAACGAAAGAATATTAATATACAACCCTGTGTGTCTGAAGATTTTAATATTTTAATATTTTGTATTGTTATTATATATATATATATATATATATATATATATATATATATATATATATATATAATCTTTTTATAAAACTCCCTTTTGGGACCTCATTCTTCATATAACCAAATTTAATGTCATAAGGTTAATTTCCGGGTTAATTTTATGAAACCTCTTCCCTTTAAAGCTAATATCTTCAACCCTCCCTTTACCACCGGCTCGGGTAATTCGTCTGACTGAAACATCGAAATGAATAAATTCTGTATCAATATTTCGACTGCTGTCAAAGTAAAATTTCTACTTCCGACACGAAAACAGTCTATACACCGGAGTTGAATAAGACCGACTTACTTCTTGTCGGTTGTGTAATATATATATATATATATATATATATATATATATATATATATATATATATATATATATATGTGTGTGTGTGTGTGTGTGTGTGTGTGTGTGTGTGTGTGTGTGTGTCACCCTTCTCTCTGAGAGATCAATCAAATTATTTCGAGAGCATAATACCTGGCCACTCGTATTCGAGGATACCTATCTACTAGGGCAGCTTTAATCCTGAAAATATATATATATATATATATATATATATATATATATATATATATATATATATATATATATATCCTGTATTCTTCTGGCCTGTGGAAATTCATTTTTGGAAAAAACTTGTTGGAAGAAGAAATGAATTGAGTAGCAACTGGCGACAGGTCAGCGACATGAAGTACACTTCGGTTGCTTAAGGAAAGTTGGTTAATATGGAGTAATATTTAGTGTGCTAGCCTCGTAGACAGACCATTACTAGTGTAGTGATTACAAAACTTAATGGATGTCCCACACGGATCTACTTAAATATAGTGGTCCCGACGTAAAAGATAATGGGCAAGTTTTTTTCAGCTGCAGTTGTGTGTAGTATTATGAATCTATTTTCAGTTAGTATGAAGTGCATATGGTCATTCCTGAAGGTTAATTCTGTTGAAATAAAATGAAGTACGTCTCTGCAAGTCTTATGTCATCGCTATAAAACCGCGTTTTCCATATCAATGATTAAAAATATCTTCCAGAAAAGGAAGCATTGTGGTCTTAGTAAGGATCTTTCTACGACAGAAACCCCGTCACTTGAAAAGATTCAATAAAAAGAATAACTCATACTCTTGTGAAAATTAATTGAAACAACTGCTTTAGTTTCCTTTCTTTCATCATACGGTCATTTTTAGAGCCACTGGCGGTATTTACTTGACTCCCACGAGGTCAAGATGTGACACAAGGTCGTTTTTCATTTTTAGAGCCACTGGAGTGACAGGGTGGAATCTAATTCTATTGTTTCCTTAGATTAGGTTATTTGAAGAGGTGGCAGTAATATGAATTTATTTTCGGGTTTATTCTGAAATTTTCCCATTCCTATTCAGTTCAAATCTAGTCAACCGTTATTTTCCCTCTTATGTAATCCTCTACCTCGGGTGGCCCCGGGCCTTGTACAGGGTGAACTTTACCGTTAAAAAAAGGACTTGTGACCATCAACTGAACCTGTCAATATATATTGTAATTCAGAAATACGATATATTATCAGCAACCTGCGCAGTTTTCATTAATTAAATCTTATTTCTCCTTCTTAATATTTAACACTCAATTAAGCTCTTTTATTTTACACACACAATGTCATCATCGGGGGTGACGGGGCGTAGTATAAATACTAATTTATTACAATATTTACATTATTCGGACTATTGTCCTCATCTTTGTCGCCATATTTATTACAACGTTTCGGCCGTTGTACGCTCCGGCCTTCTTCAGGTGGTTGGAATGTCGAACTGAACCCTTTATTTCGCTCACTGGGGTACACTGTTCTAGTTCCACGTGCCATGTTTAATGGATGTCTGTTATCTGTTAATTCCCTTCTCCAAGTTCTCCACTGCCTTAACCGGGTATTGAACGCACACTCTTTGGGTCATTTCACTGGATTTAACCAACACCTTTATCCATGTGTCCTTGAGGACAGCTGTGTATGAATTTCTAATTAAAAATCTAATGTTTTAAGTAACCATTTTTTACCAGTGCTCATATTGTAATTTTTGCTGTTATCAATTATGTTTTTAGCAGAGCTCATATTGGAATTTTTTTTTTTTTTTTTTTTTTTGTTATTATCGCTTTTCTCTGGCACTCCTTATTATTGGTTCCCATATTGTATTCATTTCCATACTTGGTCGGCTCAGGAGATTTTCGTGGCCTAACATATGTGCTGATTCCTTAAGTTTAGTGTAACGGGTCGCGTTTTCGTTTCCTCCGTCCCCGGCTTGGCATCTCCAAGGTCTGTCTCACCTTCCATCTCAGTTCATCCGCCTGAGGGATGGTCAAGGCCACCTCCTCGACTCTGACAATTATAAATCTTCAGAAACCATTTTTACCAGTGCTCATATTGCAATTTTTGTTGTTAACATTGAATTTTTTTTACCAGAGCTCATATTGCAATTTTTGTTGTTATTATCGCTTTTCTCTGGCACGCCTTATTACTGGTAATTTATTACACGTTATTAATAATTATTTTCTTTTTTCTTTTTTTTTTTTTCTTTTTCAGAACGACGTCTCCGATAACATAGAGTTGAGAGATCTTCGACTTTCTCCAATTCTCGGAATACGCAATACACAGAACTTCAATATCGAAGTGGAAGAAAACTGCAACACACCGCCGAGCCTGCGTTTGGGACCCTCAATGCCGAGGGCGGCGGTCAGCCGGAGTTACATTGGAAACAACCTAATGCGACGGCCATCGGCCAGCGGAGGCTATCCGCGACGCCGGAAATTTTTCACGCACTTCCGGCAGAAAGCGAAAAACATCAAAGTGCGAATGCCTCGTGTACAGGACGTGAATACGATTGACAAATACGCGAGGCTCTTTTTCCCGCTCCTGTTTATTGTATTTAATATATCTTATTGGGCGTTTTACTTAATGCAGTGAGCGGCAGAAAAAAAAGATCAATTATTATAAAGGCCGCCATGTTGAAAAAAATATTTTAACGCCAAACATCAACTAATATTAATAAGGACAAGGTGATAAATATTAATATTAAATAAATCAATATGGCTAATAATATTACGACAATCGATTCTACTATATCAACTAATATTGTCTTTTAACACTGTCTTCTTTAAAACCTCTTGAACATTTAATGTATGCATGCATACATATATGAAGATGAATATACATTACATATATATTATATATATATATATATATATATATATATATATATATATATATATATATATATACAGAAATGCATTCTTGATTTGGCACAATGAACTAATTTAATAAAAGAGACTAAATAAAAAATTATTGAAGAAAAACTGTAATAAAGAGTGACAAATAAGACAGTATAAAAAAAAATAAACTAGCTAAAAATATGATCTGAAAAAGAAAAAAACTGAATCTATTGAGAAATACACGGGTTTTGTAAAACCCAAATAACGATAAAAGCCAAATATGAGAGAAATTTTAACTGAAAATTTAAAAAAAAAAAAGAAAGGTTAAGTTAAAAAGAGCTCACTGCAAAATTAATTGCTAGTTTATATAAATCACTGCAGCTACAAGGACTCAAAACAAAACACTGGTTATTTCCATTGCTACGACGATAAAAAAAAAATCCTACAAAAACACACCACAGTTACTACGTCATCTATAACCTGTTTTTATTGTCGACATTTGGACACAGACAAAAAAAAATAATTACAAAATGAATAAGCAAATAATTGAAAAAAAAAAACAGAAATAATAAAAATAATTTTTTTAAAGAATTGAAATATGAAAAGAAAAATGATTTTAAAGAAAAAAAAATAGAAAAAAATGATCACGCTTCGGGAAATTAAACCATTTGCTGGTACGATTAATTTAGTGACGAGCTATATTTCTGACCCTAATGAGGTTGCAGACGACATTTTAATTCGAAGCCCCCAGTAAAAAAAAAAATACATTTATACAAAGACGTTCTGTTGGCTTCCAATTCATTGCATAATCGCTTATGGCAAAAGAAATTAAATTAATATTAAAAGGCTAAAAAAAGAAGCAATCCCGATTATATGTGATTTCAATAACATTAACGACACAGAAAATAAAACTGCTACTATCATTATTCTTCTTATAACATACACCATATAAACACTTGTACGATTACTAACACCAATTCTACGACTTCTACTAATTCTACTATTATTAATATTACTCTTACTGCTATGATGTGTCATCTTCTTTATTTCTTTTTTATGTTATTGTGAAATTTTTGAAAATGGTTAAATATATAATGTCAAAAAACAAAACGAAAGAAAGACAAAACAAGAATATATATATATATATATATATATATATATATATATATATATATATATATATATATATATATATATATATCAGTGTCGCTGCTATTATAATCATAGTTAATGTTTTTGGATTTTCAAACTACAAATATTAATACTAATGCTACTAAAATGAATAACATAACTAATGCAACTAATAATATTACTGTTTTGTTCTGTTTTGTTTTTTACAGATTCAATTTTCTTGAGACAATCAGAGAATTTATTCGCTCTTGTTTTTTTTTTCTTTTCTTTTCTTTTGATTTTCATTAAATAAAAAAAATTACCACGTGATCTGTCACATGATGCCTTTTTTTCCTTTTATAAAATATACTTTTTTTTTTTTTCATCTCCTTTAAGCTTCTCTATTTTATCTTTTCTTTAAAAATATATTTTACTTTCAGTCATGGAGTTAAAACCTCTCTGATTTAATTATACGCCTGGACGAATATCACTACATATATATATATATATATATATATATATATATATATGTGTGTGTGTGTGTGTGTGTGTGTGTGTGTGTGTGTGTGTGTGTGTGTGTGTGCGTGCGAGAGTGAAGAAATATAGTTTACAGGTATGCTATATTTATGGCATAAAGTGCTCCATATCAGAGATAGAGCGTATGTAATTATATAAAGCGAACATTGTAGTCAACACTCAGTGGCGACAGACTGTTTCGTCTCTGAGTGTTGACTTCAATGTTCACTATATATATATATATATATATATATATAGAATAAATCCTAAGAAGCCAGGAACAACTCATTTAGGTTTCTTCAGGCTAAGCTGGCCAGCTTACCCTGAAGATCCGCTTAGGTGAAATCTAGGTAAGTTATTTCTGGTTTTTTTAGGATTTATTCCATTTATTCCTGCTCTCCTTAGAGTATTGAGCACTCTACGTTTAATTTTATTACACGGTTGGTGCTTTTTCTTTGGACTAGAATCTTAAGCAACTGGACAATTTCTTTCGCCCTATTCGGATGTTTGCAGTTCTTTCTTTTTGCCATTTTTTTCCTCGGATACCAATTTGTTTTGATAGACTTACAAGTCGTGCTATCCGAAGTTTTTTCCAACCGAGTATTACTAGTAGTTTAATAAACATATATATATATATATATATATATATATATATATATATATATATATATATATATATATATAGGCAGGCGTATCTTCATTCAAACATGTTTCTTTGAATAATATAGACATATTAGGTCTATTTGTTTTTATGATAATCCTTTCCAATTCTTTAATCAGTTTATTGATGTCAAGATGAAATTCATCAAGAAAGACGCCGTAGTTTTTGCCTACCTAAGTACTTTCGATCACTTCCGAGATTGTCCTCAGCGGGGAATTATAAAGATAAACTTA